CGTTTCCAGAATACTGGCAAAGTCGTCCACTGCACTGACAATAGTCGCCTCACTGATTGTCCGTTGTTGAACCGGCTCACTGGGCTTGTTCACAAACGAGCTGACATTAATCCTCTCCAACCTGACGCAGACGGGTTTGCAAACGTACTCCAAAAAGTGTTGTTTCAACGATTTGTGCTTTTGGTAAAATTGCCTCTTGGGATATGTGTATGTTCTGGTATACCGAGACCTTTTATCGTAGCTAACCACAGGATAATCGTGATTGGTGCATCTTGGTGCGTCTCTATTTAGGTACCAATCGGTGCGTTCGATTTTTTTCAGGGCGACATCTTCCGGCAAACAGTGACGCTCCCTCAACAGCAATTTACGGCCATAAATTGAGGAAAACGGGATAGCTACGGTTTTTGTTAATTTAATTGGATGGGTGGTCTTTACTTCCTCGATCGTTTTCGTGTTGGTATTATCCAACGTGTCCAATTCGAACATACTCATAAAGTCATTTTTGTCGACGGTTTTCTCTTCTTGTTTTTCTTGGGGAATTTCTTTAAGTACGTCGAATAACTTAACGAACGGAATTTTACTAACACATTTATACTGTAAAATTAAATTTCTAGCTGAAGTTCGTTTTAAAGAGACACTGCAAGAATTTAAAGTGTCACATGTAACGTCAAGTTTAGGTTTTTTACTGGGTGGTGCCAAAATTTCTAAGTCAGCCGTGCTTTTTCTTTTAATAGCTAAATTTCCCGCGATAATATTGTCAGCGTTTTGTTTTAAGGCTAAGGGAGCTAATACCTTTCGATGATCCGTTTGCCGCCAATTTAGCGCGAACGCGTTGCTGAACGTATCCCTCCCGCAAGCAGAAAGCTGGGTGCAATGCGAGACCAACCCTTTCAAAATGGAGTTCCAAGTCATAAATGCTGTGCTTTCCGTTGAGCATACTGTCGAAATCGGCTCCTTTAGCGCAAGATCGTCATGTTTCAGCTCCCCGTTAGTGGATTTTTGGCAGTTGATTGTACCATTGCACTTACACTGAACTAAATGCGTCACCATACTTAAAGATTGTTCTATCATTCTATATTCTAACGCGGATACAACGCGACGAAACTCATGTGGCGTTAGTCACTCGTACATTTTTACATGACAGTTCGGTTTCCCGCGATTTTCATTATCACAAAGCAAGCAAGTACGCATATATAATTACAAAAGCTGGGTCGTTCACATCAACAAACAGCGCCTGTCGACGAAATCCGAGAACTCCCGTTATTGAAGTGAATCCGGTAAATTTCGCAGGGCGCAAGCGCGAGTTTAGAAATTAAAATCTGGCAATTTTTCCTACTAATATAAATATTGCGTACTCCTATTCCTCCTGGGATGAATACGCTAAACTCTCCGTGCGTAAAATCATATTTACACGTTCGTGTTCAGTTTCATATCGGATTATTGTGAAATGCTGTTCATTTTAACGTAATCAATAAGTTTAAAGTAACTGCGCACAACGCAAACGCGATATCCACGAATTCAAACCGCACGTCAGCAACCAACAAAGCGAGTTAGTTCAAGAAGTTCAAGTATGGTAGGCGGAAGGAAAACGGAAAAAATCCTTGCTTTGCTTTTGTTTTGAAGAAGTTATAATGACGATAAGTGAAAAATAGGTCGAAATTCTTCACATTACAATATCCGAAGTGGGATACGATAATTTTTAAAGCATTACCTTACATTGAAGAGGTGCACCCGTTTTCGTAATTCAAAGTATTGCAATTTTGAAGTACAGACGCAGCTTTTTGCAATCGATTCTGTCTTCTGTTGCAACTAAAGACTTTTTGTTTTTACAAAATGTAAGTCCGAGATGAGGAGGGGACGAATTTTTGCTCACGCTCGCAGTAGGCTTGTACTGAGGAAGTCGCAGGAGGGCGCACACTGCACCCTCTGTAGAGATACCAACGCTTTTAGAAGAATCCAGTGTCTCAAAAAAGCGAATCTCATTGTACACGAGTTATCTAATCCATTTCAGGGCTTTTTGATATGTCACCGATTTTCTTACCTCTTACATTTACCTTAGCAAGGGATGATCATCAAAGTGAAATAGATGTTTAGCGTGTTACATGACTCGTCGAAAATTATTGGATTTTCACATTTTATTGATCAAACTATCTGTGACAATAATTCTTTCGCGTTTTTGAATTTTAGACTCACAAGCGACTGACGATCAGTCCTAATGGTCGGTCTTCGTCTGATGCCCGTGCGTATTTGATCGATGGTACGCACGGCGTGTGAAAAAGTAAACTTAAAACCATGGTCTTGTATCATCAGGACTGATCTGATCCTCACTCAGTCATTTGTGTAACGAGCCATGAAGTTGATTATTTCCTTATGTAACGTGGCGCAATGGGTATTGACGATTTCTGAGATGCCACTATCCAAATATGAGTAAAGTGGAGGAAATCAACCGCCCAGTGATGAATCAACGCACCTTTTGCGTTAGAGCGTATCACCGATCGGAGTCTGTTATTGAGTTCCAGCGACAGTTTCGGCGCAAACCAGATTTGACCAGCCCTGACTTTTTCTTATGTGGATATTTGAACGCTAGGGTTTTTGAAAATAGACCTCAGACGCTAGAAGTTTTAAAAGTCAACATTACTCGCGGAATCAGAGCCATAAACCAGGAGATGCTGCTACGAGTTACACAGAGTTTTCATTCACGACTGCAGAAATGTTTAGACAAACGTGGTGGTCACTTAAAGACATTATTTTATAAAAAATAATATTTGTTTTAAAACTGCATTATATGTGTAATAAAAATATATGTTTCTGACCTTAGTCGTTTAATATTAGTATAGCCATAATAACACTCCTAAAACGATCAATACCCATTGCGCCACCCTTTATAAGTAAACTAACCAGAATTGCTATGGTTACCCACCTCTACTGTCCATATTAATTATATTTGAGCAATTAGGTATTTTCAAAGTCAACATTTGTAAACATAAACTGATTTACCTATGTTGTCGTTTTTCGTCAAATTGTTTTGCAAAGAAGAAATATTCTTTTCCATTTTCCACCCAAAATTTTGCTGGCAAATTGACCCAAAACATTTAACCAAAAGGTCAACATTTCTTCCGCTATATCGATGCACTTGGGATATTACGGTGCACCTTTTAATTAAGAGCCAATTAAATCATGATTTTAACGGAAATTCCAGTAATTCCAGCGGAAATTTTTCTTGACAGTAGAATGTCAAAAACAAAACAATTAAACAAAGTCATTATGTTACATTAATAATTAGGTTTCTGAATTCCGTCATCTCAAATTGGATTTGAATATTAAGAAACACACTATGTTGTCTTCCCCAATTAAATTTATATTTCTGCTATGGTATTACAGTTGTTGCAGATTAAGATGTACAATGGCTGACATATGTTTCGGTCTGGTTATCACCAGACCATTATCAAAGCAAAAATTATTAAACGGCGAAAAATTAACAATAATAAATTAAACAGCAAAAGCCGACTACTAAAAACTTCGCTGTTTGAATATAATCAGCGAAATGTCAAATTTGACGTACGTATAAAAAACATTTTTTTAACGTAGGTACGTCAAATGTGACATTTAGCTGATCATATGACATTTTCCCCTTCTCTACTTCTTTTTATTTCTATATTTGTGTTGACTAGCCGTTTATGTATAACCAATTTACGCAATACTTTTCTCCGACAAAGTGTTTTCGAGATATTCGGTCGTAGTTTTGACATGACCAACATAATTTCTTCCAGACGCCTCAATCGCCTTTTATGAGTACCATCCTCCGACAATGTGTTCTTGAGATATAAGGAATTATTTATATCCAATCACGATAAGGAATCGGGGAGGAAGCTATGGTTGGTTCACCCCCGCTCCGCCCCCCCCCTTTCCAAAAAATGTCTTGGCAACCAGTTGATTGTCGCATGTAAAAGTTATGTAGGTTTTACATTCAAAAACAGCACCTCAGGAAATAATTCATGGGAGGGCTCCCCCTTGAGACACCGAAATTTCATGCCCGTCTGGCACACCTACATATTGCAAGAAATTCCAGGACTTTAGCACCATTCCCCTAAAAGTAGTTCAAAACCGCAGGTGGGTCCGGACGGACAACAGACGGACGGACGGGCGGACTAAACGCAAACAATAGCACATTTTTTAATTCTTCAAAAATGCGCTAAAAATCACAATTGCAGGTCAATGCTAAAACGAAACCTCTAAATTAAAGTTTCCCATATCTATCTAAATGCAATTTTTGATTGCTTATCAAAATGACGAATTACAATTGCCGGTTCATTTTGAAATAGATGCACTATATAAGCTAAAAAAACTTGTATTGGTCAAAGGTTTCAGATATGAACGTATTTACCAGGTTTTATTCAAATTTAATTTTCAAATTGCCACTCATAATTGGCTCAATTAATTAATTGGAGTAAATTGACTTGACGCATGTTACAGAATCGGAAAAAAATCGTTCACCATAGACGTAAAATGGTTCATTTCGAGTTTAAACAATTATTACGTACGCATCCCGCACACAAACGGCAAAATAAACTGCGTGGCAAAAATTTCAATAATCGCCCCGAGTTTTTGGTTTATTTGTAAATAATGAAGTAATTGCGAATATCGCTCAAAAGAAATTGCACGATAAATGAAATTGTTATTGCTTACTTTACAAATATGTAAATGTTTGCGTTTGTTTCGCAAATAAAATAGGTAATATTTGTCACTTGCAAAACTTCGAAATTCATAACCATTTTAACGGCAGCACTTGAAATTAAAATCTATCCTGCCCATAAATTTTAGAAGCGGTGCCAAACGCACGCTTGTGACACGTGGAAAGTGAGCCATGAGCCCATGACATTATATTTTCTGGACACGCAAATTTATTTCGCTAATTTATTCAAGGCCATATTACATCATTAATTGTTTGCGTTGGATTTTAATTTTTGCAGTATTTCATTTCTCCTATTCATTATGTCTATCTGTTCTATCTACATCTTTGCCAGAACTTACTATAAATTACTAATTATTACTGAAATTAATGTGTTTATCAATAACAGTCGTCCTGCGTCATGAAAAATGTTGGCAAACAACAAAACTGTAAGCAAATATTTACCAAGTATATGTATGTACAACCTATTGATTTTTAGAATGTCTTTGTTTTAATTTATATTATTTAGACGAAATTATTCCATCAAGCATTACACAACGTGTTGTAACTAGTTATTACTGCTACATGATTAAAAAAACAACTGTTACCAGGCAATTCACATGATAACCACATTAACCAACTCCTAGCCCAAGATGCACGCCAAACCGACACAGAAAAATTCTAATTTTGACGAAATGAGGATTTCCAACATCAAAATACGGAATCGAAAATTATTTTTTGAAAATCTTTGTGCTTAAGAAAAAAAATGTCGAACAGTTCTTTCACATTATATTCTACGAGTTTCCAAAGTTATGCATATTTTGTCATCAAAATCACCTAGAAGAAACGATATTTTATGGTCCTTAAAGTCAACCAACCCTTATTTCATAAATGTGGCGATATTAAAAACTGGTCAGGGAAGCGAGATTGGGCATACTTGCACAGATGGGTGCGAGAGCTATAGTGTAGTCATACTCACCTGCAGGTGGTAAGTAAAATATTATTGGTCATCGCTTTGACTATGATGTTGTTGTGATATTGTTATGAATCATAACTTATGATTGTTATTGTTATTGTTATTCAGAAAATGGTAAACCTTCAGAATGTCAATGAATTGGGGCTTTACGACATTAATGAGGGTGGGAAGAGGAAACAAATAGATGAAGAAGATAATAAGGACGAATAGAAATGCATAAAAAATATGATGTACCTAGTAATACATGTAATTTTAATTTAATGTAAAAAGTGTTTGCCAAATAGCGTAAATAAGGTACGTACCTATCTATAAGTTGAGCTTTAGGGCCAATAATAAATAATAATAATAAATGAAGGTATATACCGAGAATAAGCTACCTAGAATAAATGTCGACGGTTGCGTTGGTTAACATTGTGTCAACCAATGCCATACATGTTGCTATGGTAGTTATTCCAAGAATATCTTATTCTCCGTAAAAGTGTAATCGTAAAACCGGCCCTAAAAAATTAGATAAACGGAACCTGAGAGTATACTGAAATTCCCTTCTGAAAACCTTAGACCCTTAGTAAAATGCTTGATTCTTGAATAAGCGCAAGAGATGAGGAGACATGGAGAACCGCGAAGGTGTTCGGGGAGGTATAAAGAAGAAAGGCCTGAATCATTGAATAAAACATTTTTTATACGAAAGAAATGCGAGCTGTATTAGATTTGAAGGATGCATGAATAAAACGTGAAGGAGAAATAGATCGTGTGAGAAAGATGTGAGGGAATTGAAGTATGTGTGAAGAAGACTTCAAATAAACGCCAGAGAGGCGTAATGGAGGCACGAAGACGGAAGAAAACACAAAGAAGATCTGAAGGTGGCGTGAGTAAAGCGTGAGCAGGTCTTTCTTTCTCATTTGTATAAAACATGTACCTATTCCATCAAATTCTTGGTAGAGGTGCCCTCATATAAAGTAAGTATTGTCATGTTCTCCTTTGTCTGGGTCAAATAAACTGGTGAAATCTGCATTAAAAATAGAATACAAAAGAAACCTTCAAAATGGCAAGGTAACACTATATTCTATGTTCAGCCATACAACCGAAAGTAATACCATTGACCATCAACCATGTTCAATCACTGAAACCATTTAGTTTCTAGCACAGTAGGTCACTCGCCACCTCTGCATTGGCATATGATGTACATGAATTACATATAACGTTTACGAGCGTTCAATTATAATCTTAATTTAATTTTGGTAAGAAGTTAATTTAATCGTAAATTCGATACTAATTCGAAAAGGCGCTTCCTACGCTGTTGGTTGATGAGGGAGAAATTTATGAGAAAAGGCATAAATTAATTCAATCTGAAATATACTGGACTTTTTTACTAATTTTTAACTATGCGACTCTACTACAAACCCAGTTGTAAATCAGCATATGCATGATGAAAGCGCATTTTTAGTAATACAGTACAGATCAGAATTTTTTAGCAAAGTTTAAAATAGACTAGAGTCCGCACATCTACATTACAGCAGAAACCTTTTAGTGCACATTTGAAATCTCTAGGTATTGTAATTACTGAGATCTCAGTCCGACAGCCAGCCAACGAATATTTATTTTTCATTTTATTTTTCAAAAATGCAATAAAAGTGTACTTTGCTGTTTCCTAAAGTTAATAGTATATTATTATACGAGCATGTTATGACGCTTATTATTCACGAGGTTGACGTTTGCGACGCGAGCGAGCTTGCGAGCGAGTGGAGCAAGTAAACCGAGTGAATAAGAGCCATAACATGCGAGTGTAATACTATACTTTATCTACGACTATTACTTCAATTAGATTAATATTTTATTAGCATTTACATTACAAATAAATAAGCAAAAATAACTGAAATGAAAACTAAGAAGATTTCTTATTAACGTCGAATTATGGCGGAGTAAGTTCTGTGGTAGATCTTGAAAAATTAACTGTCATGGTACTGTAATTAACAAATGTTATAGAATTCGGTTGCAAGTTGGTTTGAGCATGGGTCTCAAAATGTGCATTTGAATTTAATACGTTAGTACTACAAGATGTTCCGGATGATGATGCTGCAGGTTGTGGAGCGATATTGGAAGTAGAAATCACCAGAGCTTGAAATTTTTTTAGCGGTATCCAACTTATTTGTCAAGGAAGTATCAACGTATCCTTCGGCTACGGCTGTTGACTTCCAGCCACCGTGTCGTTTCAAAGCCATGATATCTCCACCAGCATCAATTAGGATTGTTGCGGATGTTCTTCGGAAACAGTGACCGGTGTATAAATCAGTGTTCGTAAGTCTCAAAAAGGTAGCAATATCTTTGGGCATTTTCTCAAATTTGTTAATTCCAATTTTTTGGCTTGTGCATTTTCCCTTTTGGAAATTTAAAAAAAAGAAGGGGGATTGAACGGTAGGTGGGCGCAATTTCGCATATTTCTGATATATATCAAACAATTGACCCGTAACTGTAAACGTTCGGACAATTTTAGTTTTAGTTTTAGGTATTGTGATAATAACTCCCCCTTCAAAATTCTTAATATCCTCGACTTTCATGTCACTTAACTCACAGGCTCGACATGCACCCATTAAACCCATTATCAATGCAACCTAAAAATACGAAAGATTAAACTAAGAACCGTACTAAGAAACGTCAAAAACCTTTGTTGCAAGATATACTTCGTCAGGTGCATTATTCAAAAATGCATTTATCTCCTCGGGGCTGAAGATTTTAGATTTCTTCTTAAGATATCCATCCGATTTACGTTTAAGGAAAGTACGTAGTTTGGGATATTTATCAATTTCCACTTCATCATGAAGATTTAATGTAGTTCGTAACATCGAATAGAATGTCCACAGTGAAGAGGAAGAATACTCTTCGTACTTCGAAGTATACAAGAAGAACATTTTCAGATAAAGATGATACCTTTTTTTGACGTCTCCATTCCATAAACTTTCCATATACGTGTTCGTACTTTGTTCGAGACTTTTCGGGCAATAAATTTGAACACACTTCTTCTGCCTGTTGCACAACCTCAGGAGGTGTACCCACGGCCACGAGTTCATTATTTTCGTTCTCACTATCGAGATCCATTCCTAACTTATGAATAAGCTAACGGAAAAACACTAGCGAGAATGATTGTCACGATCATTAACATTTTCATGTTTTGTTTTCAAGGAGCGCGCTATTTTGGAACCATTGAGTTATGAATATTATTCAATGGTTTGCAACCAATCATGGCCCAAGTTAGATTCCATAACTGCATAGCAATTAATTATGGCTAGCATTATTTATAGAAATAGAGGCATATTATAAGCGCATAATTTAATGGTCGTAGATAAAAGAATGCTTCTTTGAAGTGAATATTTTATTATTAGTAGGCAGACATCTACAATTTTTTTGTGACCTCCCTCCCCATCACAAGACGTACATGACTTTTAAATTATACGACCAATTTGTATAAATTTTTCGGGCACATACCTTCAGTGGTGCCAAATAAAACTTTTAAAAATAGAGGAGGGGGGAGATGGACACGTTCTAGCCTTTATGGTATTTTAATGAAAGGTCTCATCGAAAGGGATTGGTTTCTACCGACTTATGTCGAGAGTACGTGGTTGCATGGGAGGAGGTTTGGTTTTATCTTTCATGGTATTCTAATTAATCCAATATTACGGAGAGCTTCTCTAAGAGCTCGATTCTTCTGTAGATTTTGAATGTGTACCGGGCGGCCTTTAAGTCTTTATGTGTAAAGAGCCTCTATCTCCAATAAATCATACACCAATAAGCTAAACATCAACAATTTTTCCATGCTACTATCTTACAGCCCAATAATTTATTAAGCTATTTTTTTTTTTTATAGGCATCGGCTTCTGTGGCCATTAGCTTTACTTCACTTTTCGAATTGGCATATTTTGACGGTTATAGCCTATTCAATATACCGATGTTTCTCATGAAATTTATTGTGTTTACACATTCATCTCTTCCTTTCAGGTTGTCTTCCCAATTCCTTTTAATATTAAAGGTAACGCGTTGTGCGTCGTATTGTGTGCAATCACATAGTATATGCTCCGCCGACAAGGCAACGTCGCATGTCTCACATTCGGGAGCGTTCTCTCCCATCAGCAAGAAACTATGCGTAAGGGCGGTGTGCCCTATCCGCAATCTGTATAGTTTCGTTAGAGCGTATCTTCCCAACTTTACATGCAGTAATGGTCCTGGGTTTGGTTTAATCTTCTTCAGTTTCCTTTCTGCCTCTGTCCACATTCCCTCCCATTTGTTTTTCACTTGACCCCCAGCAATCATCCGCCGCGATTTTTTGGTCGAGTCCGTGAAATCTACCACATCTAAATCTAATTCTTCCAGAACTTCTTTCGCTCGCATGCCCAGAGATCTACAGTTATTCAATCGCGCAGTTCCCGATTGATTCACGAGTATTCGGTGGTTCGGGTGGTTGTCGTTTAACAACACATTTAAATAATACAGCGCGGAGATTTGCTTTCTACGCAGGGACAGCGGAAGAACGTTTACCTCGACGTGAAGGGCGTCGATCGGACTCGTCGGAAAGGCTCCGAGTGAATACCTCAGTGCGAGGTTCTGGACTTTATCGAGTTGTCCTAGCAAAGTGTTGTTACAGGTGGAGTAGACGTTACATCCGTAGTCTAGTTTCGAAAGTATCAGTGCCTTATATTATATATATATATATCGATGAGTGTCTTGGAATCAGCTCCCCACCTGTGATGGGCGAGTACCCTCATGATATTTAAGAGTTTTCGACATGATGTTAATAGGCTTTCAACGTGACTAGTCCACCTAAGCTCACTGTCAAAAACCAGGCCTAAAAATTTAATTTCCCGAGACACTTCAATGATTCGGCCGTTCATGAACAGTACGGGATCATAGTGCGGCCTACGGAGCCGGCAAAAATGCAGTGCCTTCGTCTTCTCTTCCGAGAGCACGAATCCAACTTCGCTCGCGTTTCTATACGCTCAATGGCGACCTGAAGTTTTCGCGTCGCACCACTGACCGTCTGGTTCGGACAACTTTTTCCCGAACGTTCTGCTTTCCTTTGTGCAGGAGTGTTGCATAATAGGTTGGCTGGAGTGTTGTGTTCTTTAAAGTGAATAAGAATAATAATAATATATATTAATTCCCAAGACAAATTTTGAATTGTATAGGATACGTCAGACACAAAAAAATACAATTAAATACAATTTAAAAAATGTTGGTCATACACAATACAATGGACAAAAAAGAAAGAATGCAATATAAATTACACT